TTTCAAGTCAGTATGGCACTGGAAAGTCTACTGCACCATTGAACAAAGGTGAAAAATAACATCCAAAAAGAAAAGAAAAAAAACGTAAAACTATATTTGTTGCAGTTGACATCACTATGTACAAAATCCTAAGAAATCCACTTTAAAAAAAAAACGCATTATAACTAAGAAATGTGTTTAGCTTGGTGCCAGTCTAAAAGATCAATATGTATGAAATAGGGGTGAAATTAATTAAGACATATTGTAAGCACTTTTGTTAATGTCACAGTGTACCCCCAGCACAACAATAAGATAACAAAAATTTAAAAAATTTAACAAGCTCAGTATGCAAAAGTCAATTTGTTTCTATATGCTGGCAAAGAACAATTTCAAAACGAAATGAAGAAACCCAGTCTGCTTGCACTAACATCAGAAAGAACACAATACTTAGGAATAAATGTAACAAGAATGTGAAAAACTTGCACTTTAAACCTATATAATATTGTCAAAAAAAAATCAAAGAACTCCTAGTTGAATATAAGGATATCCCATGTCCATGGATCAGGAGACTTAATATTGTTTGATGTCCATATCATCAAGTTGCTCTACAAATTCGATGCTGTCTCTTTCAAAATCCCAGCTGGCATGTTTTGCAGAAATTGAAAAGCTAATCCTGAACTTCATGTGAATGCAGATGACACCAAATAGCTAAAACCTGCTTGAAAATGAAGAAAAACTACTCCCAATTAAAACAAAAACTCTACTTCTGTCATAAGCATGGACATATAGAAAAGAGAGTAGAATTGAGATTAAACAAATGAACCCTATTTGATCAACTGATTTTTCAAAGTGGTCCCAAAATAATCCAATTGGGGAATGAATAATCTTTTCCTCAACAATGATATTAGAACCACATGCATATCCACATGCAAAAGAATGAGACTGGATCGCTTATACACACCATGTACAAAAATTAGCTGAAAATGGGTTATAAGTCTAAGTGTTTGAGGCCAAGCTCTGAGATGATTCGAAGAAAACACAGGGATATATCTTTGTGATGGTATGTAATGGTTTCATAGAGACAATGCCAAATCACAAGTGACAAAAGAAAAAAATAAATGAGAATTCTTCAAAATTGAAAGCTTTTGAGCTGCATGACATGCTTTCAAGAAAGTATAAAAGGAAGCCAGGTGTGGTGATGGTGCATACCTGTAATCCCAGCACCTGGGAGGCTGAGGCAGGAGGATAGTGAGCTTGAGTCCAGCCTGGGTCACATAATGAGATCTTTTCTCTAAAACCCCCAAAAATGGGAAGGGGGGGGAGAAGCAAGTATAAAGGCAATCTACAGAATGGGGGAAAATTTACAAAAACGTGTATCTGATAATACATTCTACACATGATATATCAAGAACTCTTATACTGATAGTGGATTTCTATCCATAATATATCAGAACTTTACAATGTAATACTAAGATAAACAATTCAGTTATAAAGCAGGTACAAGATCCCCAGACATATTTCTGCAAAGAATGTATACTACTTGCCAGGGAACATGCAAAAAGATGCTCACCACCATTAGCTATTAGAAAAATACAAATGAAAACAAAAATGAGATACCAGTTCTATTAGGAGGATGGCTCAAATAAGGAAAGGCAGGTGGTTACAAACATCATGTATGTGAAGACATTGGAATCCTGATACATTGCTGGCGGGAATGTGACAGGCAGCATCCACTCTGGTGAAAGCTTTGATATTTCTCAAAATGTTAAACATACAGTTACCATATAACCCAGCAATTCCATTTCCAAATACATTCTCAAGAGAAATAAAATATATATCTCCATAATGCCTGTAAACAAACACTGATAGCTGCAGGATTCATACTTGCTAAAAAGTAGAAACAACTTAAATGCTCATCAAATGGAGAATAGCTAAGAAAAGGAATGAAGTACTGATTCACGCTACAACATGCACGAACCTTGAAAACATTATTCCAAGTGAAAGATAGCTGCCACCAAAGACCACAAGAACAAATGTGTGTGAAATATTCAGAGTTGATAGATCTTTAGGACAGAGAGTATATCATGGTGCTGAGGGCTGGGTAGAAAATGGATAGTGACTTCTGATGGGTGTGGGTTTCTTTTTACTGTTGGAAAATGTTATACATTAGAATGTGGTGAGGATTACACAGTTTTGTGAATACAATTAAAGTATTAGTTATACACTAAGAGTAGGTAAGTTGCATGATGTGTGAATTATATCTCAGAAAAGTTTTTAAGGAAATTAATTCATCCTTATTGTCCAAAATAGGAAAATACCTCAAACCTTAAAAAGGAATAAGTGCTCTGCAGATGTCTTACACATCTAGAGCTAACATCTTCTGCACTCCCTTAACTGCTGAGTGTATATGCAGACATCATTTCTCACGGAAAGGAGTATGAATCATTTCTCACAGAGTTTAGATTCCAGTTGCTTTAAATTAAACTGAGAAAGTTTGGGAACTTCTGACTTGATCACTGCTTCTATTGCTAGATTTAAGATTGCTTTAAATTAATATATAATTTTAGTTCATTTATACATAATTGTTACTTATTTTATGCATAAACTCTTATATGGATTTTGAACATTTCCTGAGGAATGTATCTTGGAATCTTGATTAGTTTCCTCAAGCTGCCATAACAAATTACTACAAACTGAGCAGTTTTAGACAACAGAAATTTATTCTCTCTCTGTTCTGGAAGCTAAACATATCTACCCAGATGCTTCCTTCTGGAGGCCTTGGAGACTTCATTCCCTGCTGCTCTCAGGGCTTCTAGCGGCTCCAGCCATCCTCCATTTGCACACATATCACTCTAAACCCTGCTGGCACTCCACATCCCTTTCTCTGAGCATCTCTCTTCTTTTGGAAGGATGCTTATCATTGGATCATTCCCACCTTATTCCAGAAAGGTCTTATCTTAAGGTCCTGAACTTGATCACATTTGCAAATACCTTTTTTCAAATAAGATCACACTCACAGTTTCATTGGGGTGGACATAGCTTTCTGAATCTACCTTTCAACCTACTCCAGCAGCAGCAGCAGTCTATCAAAGGGTAGACTGCAGGAGGCAGCTGCAGGAGGGTTCTACTTCACGTGCAGGGAAGATGGTGGAGCTGTATTGTAGATAATTGAGAAACAATGATAAAACTGACTGAAAGTTGTTCTGCTTTTCATTATCACCACGAGCTAGCATTCCAATCATTACTGATGATGGAATACTTCTCCTTCCTGGCATCACGTGCTCCCTCTGTCCAGCCTCTGTCTCCTTCACTGCTTAGAAGCAGGAGATAATGGGAATTGTTCTAATTCCCAGTCTATACATTTTCAACCTAGTATGCAGGGTGCAGAAAGTCCCATATATATGTATGTGTAAAATACCAACTTTATAAAGATAATAAAAATATAATATATAACTTGACCTACCAATTTTATACCTAGAAAAAGATTTTAATTTTTGTTTCTAGTGCAGTTAAACCCATTAAATCTTCTATTGTTTGTTTGTAACCTATTTTTTAAAAAATGAAAGTATCTTTCAGTATTTCTTTTGGGCTCTTAGAGTTCATTTTTCTTATTGACTTTGTAAAGACTCTTCATATAACAATGGGTCTTATATATCACTACATATATTTGCCATTTTCTTTCTTTTTTACTTTTAATGTTTTTAATTTTCTTTAAAAAATATTTTATTTTTAAATGATCATACAATAATAACATGAGATTTATTGTGGTAAGTCTGTCCATGTGTACAGTGTACATTGAACAAGTTCTTTGTACTTTTTTTAGGTAGCAGATTATTTGAATCTTTATCTAGATTTTTCTTTTTGTTTTACATTATCATATACCCATTTTTTCAAACTTGTGACCCTTTGACTTGTGACTCTTTACATGAGGATAGAAACAAAATCAGATTGTTTGCAGTAGTAATAGATCTATGAAAGGGTGTATTTGAAAAGAACACTGAATTTTTTCAAATGGAAGTATAGGAAGGTTTTTTTTTTTTCCCCAAAAAAAGGAAGCATTACCTAAAACCATTGACATGGACTCTGAGCTAGGTAAGGAAAACTGAGCACCATGACTTTCTAACCCCTTGTTTTATAGACAAGAACCAGAAGCTCAGTGACTTTTGACAATTTGCCTGGAACTCGGGAAAAAAATGTTGATCTTTAAACTCACAATCCATTGCTCCTGTAAAAGCCTGTCTTGTCTTTTTCTCTCTTATTAAATGTGCTATTTAAATTCCTAAAATTCTTTTTTTCCTGCAAAATGTCTATTTGATTATATTTTTTCCTCATTACAAAAACACCATTTGTTAACCATGAAAAATAAGAAGAAAGTACAAGTAAACAAAGAAAAAGACAATTTTTTTAAAGATAGTTTCTCACTATGTAGTCCTGGCTGGCCTGGAACTTGTGATGCTCCTACCTCAGCCTCCTGAGTGCTGGAATTACAAGTGTGCACCACCACTCCCAGAATAAGAAGAGAGAATTATACAATGTCTCTTTGGACAGAGTGTCTCCTCCTCGATAAATTTATTTTGCACCTGCTAAATGCTGGGTCTTATGTCTGCATTTTTATATCAGATTTTGTCCTCTTGTCCTTATTTCTGTTTTCCAGGATATTTTGATACATAAGGTGGTAAAAACGAAATGCATTAGTCAGCTCAGAGTTCATTACACAGGAGAAGCTGGGTTCCAAGTAGGGTGACCAGTTGTCCCAATATGCTCAGTACTGTCCTCGTTTTCATACCAAAAGTCCCACACTCCAGGAACTTCTCATTCTAGCCACCCAGAACAGTTGTCCATTCAAAGGCATGCAGCATCTTACAATATCTTGTTTCCAGTTGACTGGAACTGCCCAGTAAAGAGCTGGTTGTTGCTGGGGAGGGGGGCGAGGGAGATGGTGGCAGGGGGAGAGGCGGGCGTTGTTTTGGTCTGCATGTCCATGTCATTGTTCCCATAATGTTGCCTGTTTTGTTCCCCAGGTCTCTCCATGTGCTTGTGTGCAATGCAGCAGCTTTTGCTCTGCCCTGGAGCCTCACAAAAGACGGCCTGGAGACCACTTTCCAGGTGAACCACCTGGGCCACTTCTACCTTGTGCAGCTCTTGCAGGATGTGCTATGCCGCTCGGCCCCTGCCCGTGTCATTGTGGTCTCCTCTGAGTCCCACAGGTGAGGTGCAAATTCATGTTTTATACTTGTTCCCTTCCTTGCTTCATCTAAAACTCCCCTGAGACCGTATTTCAGAAAATAATTTTGATTAGTCATACTGTGACAAGTGTGAGTGTGCACAGCCTGGCTTCCATAAGTTTTCTAGGTCTTTCTTTGTGTGTGATTAGGGGAGTGATTTGGGGCGGGACTGTCTATAACAGTGTGTAGTGTTTGTACAACTGTACTTCAGGCTCCTCATTGATTTTGCTTACAGATGGAATAATAATTGATTAAATCTGAATGGCATGACCTTTATTGATTTGTAATTCAACATTCTTACCAAGAAGAATGTGCAGTTATTCTAGCAGGAGAAACAGTGCAATTAAAGACTGTGAGATGAAATCCAATTGTTTTATAATGAGAAATTAGGGAATTCAGTGCAGACATTAGCTGTGTAATTGTAAAAAGGGAAGTACTGTAGTTAGAACATATTAGAAACCTGGCCAGACCTCTTTTGGTTAAAATTTCAATTAAAACATCAGATGCTACTTCTTTTCCATCACCATTAGGAGAACAGTCAGTGGACTAAAATTGGAAAATTTCCTCGTATTTTTAGCATATTTGTTTCCGGATTGGGATAAACAATTATTTGTCCAAAGAGAAGTACTCAGAAGAGTACTTCTGAGTACTCTGAGATGGAAGGGCACACTTGTTCGGGAGATTTCTCCTTTCCATTTTTTTGGTGAGGGGATGGGGGAAAGCTTACAGTCTTAGCAGAGTAGTTGAGAAAAGAATAATATGCACGGGCCTATTTTTCCTCCCTCGTCTCCATCTTAAGTCCTGAAATGTTTTAGTGACCCAGAATGAAGCTTATTTTTTTAATCATACTTCCATAAAACGTAACCCTTGGGACTTAGAAGAGAAAGACCAGCCAAGGGTTAGCTTGAACCCTTTATCACTCCCAAACACAGGGGCTTATGGTATAAGTGACACACTGCAGACAGATTTACTTTTACCATTTTAAATTTATGATGGCTGAAATGAAAGGAAAATGCCAGTAATAATCCTCCCCCATGTGAAAAGACATGAAACATCTCGTAATTAGGTGGTTACAAAATCTGGCCAGCCTTATCTTGGCAAATCATACCAGGTTTGTGAAAGAAAGTAGAGTAGCCCTGTTAAGGAGCGAGGGCGGCTACTGTGGGGGCAGGCAGGAGAGAGAGTACACTGGAAATAAATCTGCCAGCCCCAATCGTTTGCCAGATGTGGAGGGCACCACGGGATATGTTTAAATGAGCCTGTATTTAATGGGAGATTATGTCGAATTGTCAGCTGCTTGCTCCCCTTTGAAAATGTGTATCTCCAGTGCTATTTCATGTGACGTCTTTGTTCTCTCCCCATCCACAGTGTAATTCGTGCCTACCTTGGAGATCCGAATCTTAATTTCATTGAAAAGATGAGTTTGGAAGGAAGGCCTTGGCCTCCTGAATTAGATCTGTTTTCATTTATACACAACCTGCACCTGTCTGATGACTGGCTCGGCTTTTCCAGTTTGCATGTTATTAAAGGGTATTTTTACAAAATGTTAATTCCCTCAAGCTGGGTTGTTTATTATACTTGTGCTGCATTCCTCAGACCAGAGAGCCAGTGAGGATGTGGGTGCGCAGGTAGCTGGTACCCCTCACCATTCAAGGACCCTGAGCCCTAAACCATGTTGTAAAATGCAAGCGTTGATATCTAATTACCTCCATAAACCTTGGTGGAAGCTCTTCATTGGAGTCAAGACCCCCTGTTAAGGGAAAAATAAAGTCCTGTGTTTGCAGAAAATATTATACTAGACTGCCCCGAGGCAAAATATTTATTAGGCTTCCTGGGTCTTCACCGTGTTTTAGTTACTTATCTGGAGTCTGAGCAAGTGAATTGAATTTCTGCCTATCTAAAATATATCATTTTGAAATGAGAATTTGACTTTCTTGGTGAGAAAAAAATTTCAGGTAACAATTAAAACAGAATGAAAAGAGCAGAGTTCTGGCTGCATGACGCTAAATGGCTATGACAGTGTTGAGGGCCAAAGTGACACACACGTGACACAGCCACACACAATGCAGTCATACATAATACAACTACACAACTCGACCACGCACAACAGAATCATACACATGATCAATTCCACACGATTAGTTTCATATATAACCACATGTGACCATACACAACACAACACAACCACACACAGTCACACACATGATCAATCACACATACAACCACACACAACCACAGCCACACACAATATAATTACACACATGCTCATACACATGGAACCACATATGACCATACCTGAGCACACACATACAATTACATACAATATAGCCACACACACAGTCATACACACTGATCACACTCACACAATCACACAAAACCATGCTCACAAGTACACAAAACACAGTCACACACACAATCACATATGCAAAACAGCCATGTACACACAGTTTCTCATGAAAATTCTGTACTAGCTTTTGTGGGCATAGAATCCATATTAATTACTTAATTTGGGAATAAAAATAATATTCAGCCAAAAAAATAAAAAGAGTAGTGTGTGTACAAATGCAAGATGGGGTCCCTCAGAAGGCATTAACATTTTAGTATATCAGCAAGCAATAATTTTGCTCAGTCCTCATTGTTTGGCTCTGTGAGTTTTTCAATGTGCAATCAGAGCAGGCAGCCTTTGAAGGTTTGCCCTGTTGCATCTTCAGCTGAGAGATGAGCAGGTCATTTTTTTCAGGAAGCTCTGCCCCAGCTCAAAGGGTTCAGAAAGTGGCCTACTTCACACTTCCTGGACAGCTCTCAATAAGGCTAATCAGGCCTTCAAGATGCAGGAGAGTTGGGGAGGAAGTCAGGGCTCCACTGTGGGGGTAAGGGGCTGTTGACAGGGGGAGGACTGAGGCTTTCCATCCACCTGTGCTTCTCTGTCTTGAAGCTGTCCTGCGACCTTTTGCATAGAATTTCTTATCATGGCAGTTTGTTTTCTAGACTAGGTTCTTCTCTTAGGGATTTAATTGAGGGCTGCAGGTGGAGCACCTGCCTAGCATGCTTGAAGCCCTAGTTTCCATTCCAAGCACTGCAAAAATAAATTTAAAAATAAAGTAATAAAATAAAGAGTTTAATCTTCCCAGTGTTCGCCAGATGTGACATACTTCTGCATCATCCTTAAAAGGCAAAGCAGGGAATTCTTTCTAAACATTAATATGCAAATATTAATGTAGCACTTAGAGGATTTGAACTGAGTAGTAAATGTTGACTTTCAAGCAAGACTCAAAACAAGGCTTTTTGTAATGAGGGAAACTTGCCCCTTAGGTTGGAATTCTAAACCCATGAGCAGACTTCAATCCTGGATTTAGTCCCTACTGTGATTCAGCAACTCCAATAGGCAAATCATGAGAATCTCTCCTTGTGCTCTCCAAGAAGTCGCAGTCTATCAGTGGAAACAGGTGAATGAGTAACTTGTGGTCCAGTGTGGAACAATGCATAGGTGATACACAAAGGTAGCCCCAGAGGGTTTGCTACTGATCTTGGAGGGGCAGTGGCTGTCATTGAATAGAGTAGTTCCTAGAGGGTGGGTACTTTATTTCCATAGAAACCAGTATTTTAATCTCTTTGCTTCTTTCAATGTATCCCTCCCACCACAAAGAAATCATTGTGACATCCAACTGGGTGAGAGGTAGTTAGCGAGAACATTCTAGAAGAAGTGTCCCTGAGCTGAGTTAAACTAAACAAGTCACTAAGGCAATCTAGCAGCTGCTGATGAAGGAAGCGTCAAGGGTAACAGTGAAGGGAGTTAGTTTATCCCATATCTTTTACATGTTCTGCAAATTCTCCATGTTTTTTCCTACTTTAGTAGGTAGGGTTTCCACATCACATCCCACACCTTGGGTGTTTGAGTTTCCAACTTAGTAGTTCTTTTGTGACAGCTTTTCTTTTACTCCTTATTAGGACATTAAAGTCAAGTTCAGAAATAATATAATTTCTTGCACGAACATACTTTCAATTCAATATGATAACTTAACCGTAATACAAAAACTGATAAATGGGTAACAAAGAGCACATATTTTAACATGGAAATGCTTGTCCAGGACTACAGAGAAAACAATCAGATGTGTGTGTCCATGCATCAATTGCTTCGTGTGTGTACTGGCAAATGTATACTGTCAATAGGTGTGTGGATTTGTGGACCCCAACACCCGCCCCCATCCAGTGAAGTCTAACACTCTACACAAAACCTTATGAAATCCGAACATGCATTCACTCCTCACTTACACAGGTGTCCATTGGAGTCCTGCAAAGGCAGTGCATGTTAAGCTGTATATGTGTGAGGCTAGAGGCTCAGATAATTAGCTCCAGGCTTTGCATCAGCTGGAGCACCTAGTGAGGCAATCTTCATGGAGCCAGGCTCTGCCTGTGTTGCAGGATAGCCACCATCCCTGGCCCCTGTGGGCAGTCTTTATTTCCACCAGACAAAGGCCCCCATAAAATATTCAAATTTCCTGCTAAGTTCTACTACCTTGCACAATTAAGCTCAGAAGTCCGGGGTCTTCCTGTGGTTTGGGGACTTGAAAACAAGCAGCCAAAAATTACTTTCAATGTCTCATTGCTGAATCCTTGATGACATTTGTGGTCACTGGCTTTGTTGATGACTTGAGAGGGGCAGTGTCATTTAACACTAGAAACTGAATGTCATTCACTAAGTCCTAGATGAGGGATATTTAATTTCCATTAAAACAGGAATTTCACCTGCCCCTGCAATACTTTTCTTGGTTTTAGCCCAACCTGAACTGCTTACCTAAAGGAATAGCAAGATATTTTTCCTATAGCTGTTTTCTGGGGGTATTCTCACCATACTTCCTTATTACCCAGAGCTCAGAATTAATTTAGTGAAGCAAAATAAGAAGAGTCCTTAAATAAACATGAGCCCATCTAGAAAATTCCTTGTCTGATGTGATCCAATTGTATTTTCAGAGCAGTCATGTTATTTTTTGAGAAGGAAAGAAAGGAAAGAAAGAAAGAAAGAGAAACAACCAGCTGGTGTTTAACGACTCCATCAGACCCAATTATAAAACATCAACTAGTTACTTTGATTTGTGTACATCTATGCCATGGGTATACTTAAGAACACTAGACTCTGCCAGAACTCATTTTGCCTTTGTTTACATTTATCTTTTAAATGTATGACTATTGATGGCACCTCACCAAGGTTTTAACCCCGTTATAATCATTAATTTTTAATCTGGAAAAGAGTCTTAGAGGCAGCTCGGCTCATCTATATTTACTTGGATGCTCAAATGAAAATGTACAGGACTCAAACATTGGCTCAAATAATCCAGGAGAGCCCTGTCAAGGGTTTGGAGTGTGTTATCTTTTTGTTTCCAGAAGCAGTAACCCTTTACTTAAGATGCTTTTTCATTTAATTTAATTATCCTTGAACTTCCAGTGGAAGGTTTTGAAAAATGTATTTGAGAGGTGGAGGGAGTTCAGCATGTTTGTTCTGCTGCACTTACGAATGTGGGCTTCGACTAGGTCTGTCTTTGGATCCAGTTGGTTTGCATTAAGTCACCATGATCATTATCATTATCATTATTATTTTTTAGAGACTACAGTTTGAACTGAGGATCTTGCACCTTTTAGGCAGGCTGTCTACCACTTGAACCTTGCCCCTTTTTGCTTTAGTTATTTTTCAAATAGTGTCTTGCATGTATACCCCGCTCAGCCTGGACCACAATCCTCCCAGGTACCTGGGATGACAAGTGTGAGCAACCATGCCCATCTTTTTTAGATGTCATTTCCCTAACTTTTTGCCTGAGCTGGCCTCAAAATGTAATCCTCCCAATCTCTGTCTTCCAGGCATGAGCTACCACACCCAGTTATCATTATCATTTTTTAGGGTCATGGTTCTGATGCATTCAGGATTGAGGTTTTTTTGACAGTATATACCATTTCCATGGATTTCTAATAAAAGTAATAAACTAGATGAGAAGTCAGAGTCCAGTTGCCTTATGTCATATTTTCTATTTTTCAGATTTACAGATATTAGTGATTCTTCAGGACAACTTGACTTTAGCCGTCTGTCTCCATCACAAAATGATTACTGGGCCATGCTGGCCTATAACCGGTCCAAGCTCTGCAATATCCTCTTCTCCAATGAGCTGCACCGTCGCCTCTCTCCACGTGGGGTCACATCGAATGCAGTGCATCCTGGAAATATGATGTACTCCTCCATTCATCGCAGCTGGTGGGTGTACACGCTGCTGTTCACCTTGGCGAGGCCATTCACCAAATCCATGGTAAGTGGATGACTTCTGGCGCCACTGTCACTCCCAGCCTGTCTCACAGAAAGGTCCTGGAGAACCCCAGACAGCGCATCTGCTCCCCACTCTCGCGGCCTGTCATGATGAGTCTGGAATCCTTGTGAATGGCATCAGGCCCTTGAACACCTATCTACTAACTGTAGATCAAGTCTGTTTCTCTCACGAAGCTTTGGCGGACTGGATAGAAGTTGTAGATTTTCAATATGGGAAATATGGCTGAAGGTCTTGAGGGAAAGGATTTGTTTCCTTTGGATGTGATTTCTTTTTTGATTCAGAAACCTTGAAAATCTACCGTACTTGGGAACTGTGTTTCATATTGGTAGGTGAAAAACCTGGATTTGTGACTATCAAGCTGGTGCAGATGTGGTTCCTGTGTGTTCACCGAGAATCTGTATTGGATGTTCTAGATTCTTCTTTTAATGGAGAATTTGGTGTGCTCTAGAGTGTGATTTATTCTTTGCATCCCCAAAGATGAATTTCTCAGACGAATCACATTATTGTGGTTAGATTTGGAAGTATTCATGGAGGTGAATAGAAGTTCTTCCATTTTTGATGGCTGTGTATCAATAGTGTCCAGAGATCGTTGCCTTGGATGCATTTTAGTAGGAAGTGATTTGAAGGAAGAATGTACATTTTGCACAATATATATGGTAGATTACTCTTCTGAACTCCAGGCCTTTAAAAATTCTTCCTTATCATTGGACACCAGTTTTCCATTTGTATCTATGTCATACAAATTATTGCCATAGGGATGAGGAAAAACAGCAAAGTAGGAGAAGGTCCCTGCTCAGTAAGCACCACAGCCCCAGTAGTCCTGCTGTAAGGACTGTAGTAATGTGGACTTCCTGTGTTCCTATCCTTAGGTTATTGGAATGGAGCACCTTTCACATGCCTCCACATGTCCTTTTTTCAATAGGCATAAAGATTAGGAAGATTATGGAATATGAGCAAGTTTAAATTCTTATTAAAATATTGATAACATTTAGCTAGTACTTTTTAGCCACTGAGTTTCCATATTACTCAGTTTATAAAGAGGTTGGATGGGGGTTTGTATTTGTTTTCATAGCTAGTCACTTCTTTTTAATAGACACTTAGGACTGTATTTGGGAGAGAAATGAGCATGAGTGTGGAGCTGGGATTGGTCAGTGTCACCAGCAGGACAGACTGGGCTGACTGGAAAGGTTACACTCATGTACTACCCTCTCTGTGGCTTGGCATTGTTTCCATCATGGAAGGGATTTGTTTCTTAGCCAATGGATGCACCTCTGCCATTTCACTGCAGACGTGTGTTGAGACACAAACCATGTAGTTGCTAACCCATTCTCATCCCATGTAAAGCCTAGATTCCTAAAGGAGGTCATAATCTTCTGTTAGTGGATGGCTAGTGCTCAGTCTGGGCTTCGTATCGCTTTCTGCATTTCACCTTGGAGAGAGTGTTTTTCTTTTCAGATGAGCATTGCTGGAGTATCCATCCCATTGCGTGAGGTCAAGGGAAGAAGAGCTTGGCCTTGTGCTCAGAAACCCTGCCTTTGCTTCTCCACTGTAACAGGCTCCCTTAAGCATTAAACAGCAGTATTCTAATATCAACGTCCCATTTTTATTTGCTGTGACTTGCTGTGACTACGGTGATTTTAGTTACAGTAATTAGGTCACCCTTCATGGAGTCAGGCTATTTTGAGTGGTCTTTAAGGAATATTGCTGCAGATCGGTAATTTTACAATTGGATGTTCTTGTGCAACTTTATTAAATGTAATCTGTCTTTTAAATGTGGCCCTTTGCAGTTATACATTTCTAATTGTTGCTGTAAATGCATTATCACTCTGAAATTAATTAATTTTTGCATTTTGGCCGCCTGCAGTATAATAATCACTAATGAGAAACTCATAGGGATTAATGCGCAGTACAGCGACCCCTACTGGTGAAGTCTCATCTCTGATGCCCTCTTCCTCCTGAGATCCCTAGGACAGGACAGATGTGTACTGAAGGGTTCTGTGGGAAACACACTTAGTCATTCTCTCTCTTTCTCTCCTCTTCTTCCCTTTCCGTCCTCTCCCCATCCCCGTGCCCTCTCCCTCTCCTGTTCTCTTTCTCTCCAATTTATAATAAAATAAAAATAATGAATAAAATGGAAATAGGGTTATTTTAAATGTTGTGTAAACAAAGATGCAGAATTCTTCAAATGGCTGTTCCATCTTAGTGGAAACTGAAGTGTGGTGAATGATTTCTCATCATGAAATCACATCATGTGTGCATTATATGTTTACTTCCCTGTCTCACTAACTGCTCTTATGCAATTAAACACTCTAAAATGATATTTCACATATGCATGTAAATATGTAAGTTAGTTATGTATTACTCTGTGGGGTTTAATTCACAAAGCCTGACTATAGTATTGGCTGGTGAAATAAGGGTATGTCTTCAAGGGTAATTTTTGGCTGTTTGCATGTGTGGCTCTGTGTGGTGACTGTGGAATGCCACCTGGTAGTTTAGGCCACATATCTTGATGCTTAATGTATCAGCACCTATGCTCTCATTTATTATGATAGCTCTGCAGGGTTAGAATTATCTTTATCCTGTGCTCAAAAAGCACAGAGAGCTTACCTAGCTCGTTGAAAAAATGGCTTTCCAGCCTTAAAAACCTCCCCAGCTACTCTCAGCAACATTTTCTTTGTCAACTGAGCCATTTTGCCCCTGCCATATGTATCTGATTGTGGGCTTAGTTTCCTTTTTAAAATGTTTGACAGTGCCTTCATGAAACTCACCCCTCTACCGCATTTTTTTTTCCACATTAGCTTGAAGCTCTGGTAAAAAACATCTTCCGCAGGGGTCCTAGGGGCAAGTGAGCCAGCCCCGTATGGGTCAGCATGTAAGTTTGAAGCTGAGTGCTGTCACATGCCTCTGAGGGTGTTTTGTGCAGGCAAATATTTGTGTTGGCGGTAACTGTCGAAAGAATATCATGTGTTAGGGTAGCACGAGCTAGCAGATGTTTTAAGGAGCTGCTTTTTCAAGTCATTTTGCATTAAAAACTGACTTGGGTTTGTAGAACTTCTGAAACGGTTGGGTTTCGTTTCCTGTGGCCGTGGAAAGCCAGGTATTGTGCTGAGTTTTAACAGATGTGCGGTACCCTGCTAATGGATGGGCCTGCAATGCTGGGCCTGTTGCAGAGTTATAAATTAGAACTAGGGAGAGCGCAAGGTGTCATTCTTCTAACCTTCGGTGAAGCCAAGCTGGGCAGTTCTGCCCTTGCATAACCTGCAGCGGGTGATTTATAGTTGTGCAATTTAAAACATAATGAAGGACATAATAGATGTTGATTTGTTCTTTAAATTAGTATTTTAGAAAAAAATACTTCTCCTCCTACACCCTCTTTAAATACCTGAGGCTGACTACACTGTCCTGCTGTCAAGGACACCCCTTCTTTGAAGCTTTGTTTGTATAACAGTGTGTTGCCCACAAGGTGGAGGGAGGAGCAGGGAGAAGGAAATATGATTTGCAAAGTGGAAATTTCAACTCTATTCTCCCCTAATGTAAATATTTTGAGACTCCTGGGTAAGGGTGGAATTCTCTGGTCGTCTTGCTCAGGTATGCTAGGAAATTGGACTCTGGGACCTCTCTGTGGTGGGCCACACATGAGCTTTGCTGCTGTGGCCCCCACCGTGGCTAGGCTCTCTTCTCTCCCATGGAGGCCACCTCCTCACAGCCTCAAGCATTCTTACTTTCCACAGTTAGCACCAGTAGTTGTTCTATTAGTCATCTTTCAGTGCTGTCCAGAGCAGGAAGGTTTATAGTATTTGCTTACTCCACAGGCCAGTGGATATGGTTGCAAAAGAACAAAGGGTTTGGACTCATTAGCACTGTATTTAAAACTCAGTTCATTTCTTCCTTTCTAGTTATACAATTTTGAAGTAGTTTGGCATTTTTTAGGTTAATTTTCTATACTAGTTCAGGTGTGTTGGGTCATTAACATTCACTTAAAGTGTTTGGAATAAAAAAGGCTTAAAAAAACATTTTTCATATATCCAGAAGCTCCAAGGCAGTCAGTCAGGGGTGTGTTTGCCTACTATCTGGACAGCTCTTTTATGATTGTCTTGGTTTTCCCCTCTTGCTTACAAGATGGTTGCAGAAGTGCTAGTCATTGCATCCTGCTTGATAAACTCTGAAGGCAAGGTGGAATGGTGGGATCCCTCCTTGCATGCCTCCCTCCGTTATAAGGAGAAAGTTCTCAGAATTGTCCACCTAAGCCAACTTTTCCTCAGCTCTCACTTAGAAGGATTGAGTCACCTGTCCCTCTCCTAGGAGCAAGGGAGGCTGGTAACGGTGATGACTGGCATGCTGAGTCTAAGGTGGAAAGCAAGCTCTGATGGCAAGGGAAAAGGACAGGCCAATGACTTTCAAACGGGCACTACCGAATGGATGCACATAGAGTTTCTCAGATGCCAATAGCAATGCTGTCCCGTATCAGTGGTTTGAGAGCCCGTGAGTAAAACTCTGGGTGCCTGGCCTTATTGGTCCCCATTCACATGAGCAGCCTTACCCATAGCCAAGCCAGCCTTGTGCTCTTTCCTTCCTCGGGGGTTTGAAGCATGATGCTCTGCAGTCTAGAATGTACTACCTGCTCCACTGTCAGTTCTCTGTTAATGCCCAGTGCTCCATCCCCGCATTCCACTGCAGGAAGCGTTTTTGGTCTCTCCTGTTGGGTCCAGTATCTCATGCGTGCTGTCCTAAAGCCAGTGTCTACAACACTGGGCACCGTACACATGTTCTCAGTGAATGAATAAAGGGCCCTCGGAATTTTCCTTTATAACATTGAATACACCTGTAACTTAAAAAAGGAAATTTCTGTAGTTTTGTATTTAATATGTCTCCCCTGTCTTGAAGGTAGTATTTTTTGTCTTCACTCTACTATACATATAATAAGTGCTCAAGAAATACTTAGAAATGAATGAGGAAAGGCAATTTAGTGCCTAATAAGTGGC